TAATTTTAATTAATAAATTAATAATTAATTTAAATTAATTATATATAGCTATTTTAATTAAAGTTATTTTTCAATTTAATAAAAATATTTCTATTATTTAATAGGTTAATTTATAAAGTTATTAATTATAAATTAATTAATATGTAAATTAATTATAATTAATTGAGAATAATTAACTGTATATTATTATTATTAATTAATTTAATTTATTAATAGTTAATAATCTGTACTTGATTATAACTTAATTAAATCAAATATAATAATTAAATATAATTATAAATTAATTTGATAATAATATAACTATTAGCTTAAGTAGAGGAACCCTCAGTTGCATTTCGATTTCCATGAGCCGAAGATCGCCACAGCCCCAGACGGCAAGCAGACCGGAAGGACTCCTTTCCCACCGCCGGATTTCCTCAAGAGTATAAATTTCTGACTTAAATCGCCCGTTCATTTCAAGAGACAATTTGCAGCGAGACCGGGAAGAACCAATCTATAGCGCGCATCTTGTAGCACGGTAGGATATGGAGCACAAAGTGGAGCCCGTGCGGAAAGCATAAACGACGAGAGCGGGTAAAGCATATACAAAATTCTCTTTGTGCGTGGGTTGGGAGAACGGTCCTATACACCTCGGACCTACCTGACACCGCAGCGTACAGGTAGGACTATCACAGTAGAAAACTACCGGACTGCTGCTCACGACAAAGGTATGCAATGTTCAAAAATTGTACGCCCAATTCTCCCCTCGAACGTTTGCCAGCAAAGCGGACACGGAGGAGAAACCACCGTAAATACGCGCCAGAAGTCCGCACAGATTAGATAAGGTAAGCACAAAGGATAGCATTCATAAAGAAACATACAAAACAGACACAGGCCCGTAGTGCGGTAAAACGCAAGTTATAACATTACGACAGGTGGGGAGAAGGCCCTATAACAACGCTCTTATAAGCGAGGTGGGAGCGGTAATAGCTGTTTCTGGTACGAATCACTGCTGTTCTGCTATAGGCGGGTGCTACTTGAAGGCCCATCGCACTCTTGTGCGTGGTGGGATGAAATTATTGTGACGCCTGCGAGTTCTAGGTACGTAACCATAACATACTGCCTAGTAGCGTGCTGGGAAGGCCCATAGCTACCAACTTTTCCCCCGAAACAGGGGATATGTCGGGGTGCTTTGCGAAAAAATTTTCACTTGAACGTACAAAGACTGACAATTTGAAATCTTAATTGGGATCACAAATATAGGAAGATTCTGTACTCTAGAACAGAATAGCACAGAAATGAACTAAAATGAGCAGAAGGACTTGACGTATGAACAGTGAACTGTGAATCTAATTCAGAACAAAATCTAAATAGTTTTCAAAGATCAACTCAAATGAAATATATAAACAATTCAATGAATCAAATCAATCATTGAACGTGAAATTGTTAATAACTACAGAGATTCAGAGAAGACTCTGAACAAGACAATTGAACTTTCTTCTTTGGAACTCTAATATGGTCAACATTCAGTGGATCGAATATAGAAGACATCAAACAAAAGACTTAGATTTGGCGCTGGATTTACGATAATCCGAATAAAGCAGTTGATACTCAAGAACATTGAACAATTATGAAACGATCCAAAGTGGGACTATGTAAACCTTGATGATTCGAAGTCTGAATGAAACTGAAATGTTGGATACAAACAACATTGCCAAAGATCAAAGTTATAGATCACAGACGAGAAAAAAGGCTCAAACTACAAGACCTTGAAATATAACGAATCCATACAATAGTTCCTACGAGGTCAAAGTGCAACCATACTTCAAGACACGAGAGAGATTCAAAAGCATGAGTTGAACCTTTGAAATATCTGAGGTCCGATGAAACATAGAATTTTGGACTTGGGTTATGAAACCAATACATTTAAATGCACAGTTTCTAAAATTAAACAAAAGAGAAATTATGAAAAAAAAGCGAAGGGATAGAAAAGTCCCGGTGCATAACGAAAATGTGTTATATGAAACAGACAATCCCTAACAATTGCCTTGTTGATTGTAAGGTAATATGAGTAGAACCAATAGGATGGAGGATAACAGCCCAGCCCCCGTCCCCACATATTCGATATATTGTAGTAGTCAAAAACTTTTCTTTTTAGGAATTTTGCAAATATGGAAAGTTTGAATTTCAAATTTGAAATTCAAAATCGGCAACTCCTTTATTTATTGCTAGGCCACAATCAAGGAGCCATTATGATGATAGACATCTTCATCATGGCTTGGAGCAAGGTGGTGGCCGGCGGCCAAAGGAGGAAGAGGGGCTTGCCATCGGGTTTGAGGATTTCTTGATGGAGGTTGGGTTGTGGTGGAGGAAGCTAATGGGTAACTTGGTGGATGATGGGATCTCGGGTAGGACTTGGCGTGGGGAGGAGGAAAACGAGATTTGGAGAAGAAAAGAATAAGATAAAAATAAACCACGAGTCGAGGATGCTTCCGACGACTGGTGGGTATTGCTTTTGCCCTCACCTTGGGCTTTCTCTTAGAACTCACACAGAGATCTAAAAGAATTGAACTCACCAAGAGATCAAGAAACTATGAACTCACAAAGAGAACACAAAGAGAAGAATTTCATAATAATCATCATCCCTTTCCAAGAGGAAGGGGAGGGCTTAAATAGCCAAATACATGAAGGAAATAAAAAGACAAAATTACCCCTAGGGCAAACATAAAACAAATCCCTCAAGTGATGGTAGAAATGGAAAAGTACAAATAACAAAAACATCAAAATAAATAGACACGATCGTAGCCATTGATCTTCGATGTCCTCATCAGAAGGGCTAGAAGACGTTGTTTTAAATTAAATATATTTGAAATTTTGTGTATGCATAGAACAAAATGTATTAGGCATTTTAAATGGAGAGAATATGAGATTTGATTTATTTTATAGATTTTTTTCCAGAGTTATTAATGTGAACAATAGACCTAAGATATCTAAAACGTGTACTCTTATTAATGACTTGATCGCCCAAAATCACAATCCCTCAACTAGATCTATTACTGCTAAAATTACACTCAATGTATTTTGTTTTAGATTTACTCAACCAAAAACCTTTAGACTCTAAAGTTGACCTCTATAATTCAAGTTTACCTTCAATTCCCTCTCTAGTCTTATCAACAAGAAGAATTTCATCAACGAAAGCATACAACAGGGTACATCCTCTTGTAAATGTCTAGCAAGAACATTCATTACTAAAGCAAAAAGATATGGGCTTAAAAGCTGATCCTTGATGTAATCCAACTTAAATAACAAACTACTTGGTCAAACCACCTTGTTTTTAACACAAGTAACAACTCATACATACATATCCTTAATGATTTGAATATAAGCATTATTAACCCCTTTTTTTTCTAGAACTATCCAAAACATTGCTCTTGGAATTGATCATATGCTTTCTCTAAATCAATAAATATCATATTTAGATCATTCTTATTCTCTCTATACTTCTCCATCAAACCTCTCAATAAATATATAGCTTCCATAGTAGATCTACCCGACATGAATCCAAATTGATTTGAGAAACATTAGTATCATGTCCTAGCCTATGCTTAATAACTCTCTTCCATTGTTTTAAAGTATGAAACATTAACTTAATTCCTTTATAATTCGCACACTCTTGTGCATCATCTTTATTCTTAAAAATATGAATCAACACACTACTTCATTCATCTCACAACTTTTTAATATTCAAAATAATATTGAAAATTTTCGTAAGCCAAGAAATTCCTTCAACCCTAAGCATTTCTACACCTCTATTGGAATATCATCATGTCCAACGACTTTTGCACACTTCATTTCTTTAAAGCCTCTCTACTCCACTTTTACTAATATGTCGACAAAACATAAATCTCTATTTTCATTTAGGACATTAAGGTCGCTAAAGTCAATTGTATTCTAACAATTTTCATTGAAAAACTTATCAAAATATCTCATCCACCTTTGTTGAATATCCTCTTCTAATAAAACACTTTTTAATCTTCTTTCTTTATCCACTTTATTTGAACTAAATCCTTACTACTATCTCTTTGCTTTGCTATACATACATATTTCGCCTTCCATAGTATCTAATCTATTATATAAATAATTAAAAGCTAAATTATTTATATCACATGTTGCTATCTTAGACTCGTTACAGGCCTCTGCATAACTTTCCCAACTTTTCGAGTTTTTGCATCTAAATCTATTTTTATAACAAAGTTTTTTTTTTATTTTTGATCTTTTCTTGCACTTTTGATTTCATTATCAACTATTTTTACTATTATGAGCTTTTACTTTTGATACTTCAAGCATATCCTTTGCAATATTGTTAATAAAATGATAAATAAAAATTGCAGTTAAAAGTATTATCAGTGTTTCGAAACTTGTTAAGTGGGCTTATGCATTGGAGTATGAAGTGCTAGAAGATTTGCAAATAAAATATAACATTTGAATTTTAATTTAGCATATTAAAATATATAAAAGGAAACTGAATTACAAGTTTAGGTGGAGAGAAATTGAGATTTGTGTAATTTAATAGATTGTCTTGCTCATTCTAGGATAAAAATGTGTTTTTTGTTTGATGACTTGGAAAATTTGTTGGTTAGAAGTGTCGAGTGTTACCCTTCATAAATGCCAAGGTTCAAATTAAAGAACGAAAGAATAAAAAATGTTCCAAAATATTTTTTCTTTTATTTAGTGCGGGTTAACTTTCAAAAATTTATTCTGACTACAAGGATGCATAATTTTTAAGCTTCATGAAACTACAAATTAAACAATTTGAGTAATACATTATAATCTGTCTTTAGGAAAGGGGCACGTGCTTTAGAGATAGGTTTGATGAAACATTGAATGAAGAACTAGAACGGTGGAATGACAGTTTTATCCAATGATGTGTGTGACAAGTGCCTAAACCTATTATGTTGAAATTATGCGGATTAACTATGCTTTATATTTTTTGTTGCGTAAACTTTTGATAATTCATGTGAGGCTAGAAGCTTCAGCTTCAATGACTGTAAGCATTAAACACAATAAACTTCATCTTATCTGCTTCGAAGTGATTCAATGCGTGAAAATAGCAAGCTTGGAAGGTAATGTTTTAAAATGGTAATTTATGGTGCAGTTGGCCAAGAAACGGCTATCTAGTCAGGCTGCAGCAGCTGCTAACCAGGATGGTAAGTGGAGAAATCAAATGCGTAAAGCTGCTCATGATGGCTGTTGTAGGCGTGTTGCACAAATTCGAGCTTTGAGTTCTGTCGTGTGGAAGCTAGTTGTTTCTGAAAACCTTGTTAATGTGCTCTCCAGAATTGAGAACCCCATGGTACATTTCTTGTTAATGTGGAGAATTCTAACTCTCTCTCTCTCTCTCTCTCTCTCTCTCTTTTCTTGAAGACAGTCATTTTGAGCTTTAGTATTTTCATAGATTTAGCTCTGCCCCCCTGTTAATCTTTAGCCTTTCATATCTTTTGAATCCTTACATGATGTTGCAGGTTAAAGTGCTCGCAGACATGGAACTTTGGGGTGTTGGTGTTGACATGGAAGCATGCCTCAGAGCAAGGCATGTTTTAATGAGAAAGCTTAAGGAACTTGAGAAGGATGCGCATAATCTGGCTGGCATGCCTTTTTCTCTTTATTCAACTGCAGATATTGCGCATGTACTTTATACCCGTTTGAAATTACCAATACCGAATAACAGCAAGAAAGGAAAACTTCATCCTAGCACAAACAAACACTCCCTGGACCTATTGAGGTTGTCTTCTTAATTTTTTTGGCTATTCAGTTGGCTCGTGATTTCTGTTTCTATAACTTCTGTTTGAGAAATAGTTTGTTTATAGGCTCGCTGGAATCTCTTTAAATTTGTTTCCATGCATGCATTGAATTAAAATTGTATTCTACATTTATTACGAATCAGTAGCATCCATGTCACACAAATTCATAAGTACTATAGTCTTGCTTACAGCGAAGACTGGAGACATGTTTGTCAGAAGAAGGCTATAAAGCCTGGGATTTTAATTTCTGAACTCTCAACTTATATGCTTGGTGAAAAGGGAAAGAAATCATGAGTGATTTATGTTAGAGTTTTTTCTCTTGATGAGTTTTCATTCTTTCTTAGTGACTTTTCCACGCCTCTATCTTGTTACTCTTCAGTGAATATTTGTCATCTGCTCTAGACCAGTTTTTTTTTTGTAACGCGGTTTATTTTCATGAATTTTACATAGACGTGTTTATGGACTTATGTTAAAATGCCTGTGTGCACACTTGTCTATACAGAAACAGTTATGTACACAAACTTCTACCTGCCACTCTAAATTAGAAATTAATTACACAACTACAGACACATAATACATATATGATATTGTTTTGAAAAGTAGATAACTGTTTAAATACCACATAATTGCTAATTTTGTGGAAATTTGATAATATAACATAACAGACCATGTCTTTCTTTTGCAATTATTGACTGTGATGAACTCGTAGATTTTGAATTTTTAGGGCTCATTCTGTTTCCTGCTCTTTTTTGTTTTGAAAGCTTGTGTTAACTGATAAAGTTGGCTAGATTTATTGCTTCCATGGTGGAATCTTAATGATAAATATTTTTGTTTTGTTGATTTAGCTGTTTTTTATATTTTATGGATTTAGAATCATTTAATTGAAATTTCAATCTCATATTGATGTCATATTGCTGTCAGTGATGATGTGCAACGTTGCTTCTGAATTTGATATTTTTGTTATTTGCTTTTGTTATTGATGGGGACATCATCAGCGATTTCGACACATGTACCTTCAGGAGATGCCGGAGATCGACGACCACGATCATGATCTGTATTTTCATCATTTAATGTAGTAGTTTATTTTTATTTTATGTTTTTCCGTTTTTGCCCTCATGGGTATTTGGTAGCTATTGTAGCCCAAGGGACATTTTAGTCTTTTGCTTCTTTGTCATTTTGAGGCCTATTTATAAGGCCCTTTTCTCATGTAATAGTTAATTTTTGATGAATGAAAATTTGACTTTTCTTGTTCTCTTTGTGAGTGCAAACCTCCACGATCTCTTAGTGAGTTCGTAGGAGAAGCTAGATCTCTTAGTGAGTTCTAGATCTCTTGTTCTACTTTTATTTTTCCTTTCAATCTCTTGCTCACATCACCGTCACGACGATTTGGATTGAAGCCACTAGTTGGAGATTGGATCTTCAGGTTTTGGATCCCGAGAGTTTCCCCACACTCTCCCCTCCCCTACTCTTACCGCTGCCCCCCTCCTCCTTCGTTCCCCCCCCCCCCCCCCCCCCCCCCCCCCCTCCCTCCCTGGCATTGCCCAGCCACCGACCGGCCCGGTCTCCACTCCGCCGACTCTCCAAAGGCCTCCCGCCAGCTATTCTCATCGCCGAGCCACTGGGAATTTCCTCCTTTAACAGCCGCCGGGCTTTCAGGCATGTATTCATTGCTTGGCCGCTGTTCCCATCCCTCACCCCTTCAATTTCTTTAATTCCCATTATAACCTTCTAATTTGGTCCAATGTTTTTGTAATTTCAATATCTTAATGGAATTGGAATGAAGAGCTTGCCTTTCTTCTAAACCGGAATAAAAAGGCTCTCTATTATTAATGCAAATCTGATTTATTTAATTAGATTTAATTAACTGAGCCTTAATCAGCGGCCCACTACCAAACCACTCAACATACTCCTCTCTCTCCTTTCCGTATTAACCCCTTGTAACTTCCTTATTTCTTTCCTTGAGACTAATTTCAGGTTTGAATTTTCAAAACTGAAATTAATCTTCCCATTGAGAAATTTGAATTACAAATCAGATTATTTTTGTATTACTTCCCCCCCCCACTCAACCCTTGCCGTTACAAAGCCTGCGGCTCCCTTCCCAAGTCTCCCCCTCACGGTTTTTCCTCGCCCACCCCTAAAATCTGATGTATGCTCACGCATTCCAGCAAGGGTAGCCTGCTGTCCTGCACCATTGGAGACCTAGAATTGCTGTCCAAACACTTCCAGCACCCTATAGCAGCTGTCCAAGGTTTGTACAGGCATTATATGTTGCCGTCCAGAACCCCTTAAAGGCCAAACTGCTGTCCAGACCTCTCCTGTCTGCTGCTTCGCATTTCAAGCATCTGAAACCTGCTATTTAGGAGATTTGGAACATGTTTTCTTGCTGTTCAGCCTGCTAGAAGGTCTTCAAACACTGTCCGGGCATTCCAGGCCACCGAATACACCTTCAAGAAATCGCTGTCAAGAATTCCATACTTCGGCCACCTATCCAAGAACGACGATCCAAGGTTCCTTCTTCCTCGGAGCGACCTCGATTCTAAGGTGGAGACTCTTCTTCCGCTAAAACCTAGACTAGTTGAGCGTATGAGCTCCAAAGGTGAAAGTTATTATTATTAAATTGCGGATTCTTGTTTACCGTCGTAGTGTTACAATTGATCTTTGTGTTTTCTGAAATTGTTTGGTTAACCGACCTCGCTCTTCTTTGCCTAAGCAAGTTAAAACTAAGAATTCTAAGGATCAAACCAATGTTATAAGCAATAAATTTACTTTGGATTATTTTGTTAAAATTGCTCTCTTTAATTTCGTAAAGTAACTCCATCGCATGTTTTGTTTCACATCAGTTATATTGCAAGACTTAAAACTGTTCTTAAATTATTCAGGCTTGAATACAAACAATTCTTAAAGTATATTCGCAGTTGACTTTTATTGTTGCTGTGGTTGCAGGGGACAACATCCCATCATTTCAGTTATTAAAGAGCACAGGACCCTTGCAAAGCTATTAAACTGTACATTAGGGTCAATTTGTTCTAGGGCTCGCTTGTGTGGTAATTCCCAGAAGTATATACTGCAGGGACGTTGGCTTCAGACTTCAACAGCTACAGGGAGGCTTTCAATGGAGGAACCAAATCTTCAAGTAAATTTGTTGTCAACGTTAAGCTGTTTCCCATTTATTTAACCTGTTTATAACAATTGATTTCTTCTAATGCAGTGTGTCGAACATATGGTGATCTTCACAACCCATGATCCTGATGCGAAGAACTTGTGCTCATCAGATATTGATCATCATCAAATAAATCCTCGTGATTTTGTCATTCCTACTCAAGTAATGGTTTATTTGCAATTATCTCTTTACTAGAACGTGTGACTAAAATTCAGATGGATGCAATGTTTTCTTGTATGAATTTCAGGAGAATTGGTTATTGCTCACTGCTGATTACTCCCAAATAGAGCTACGACTCATGGCTCATTTCTCCAAAGATTCTTCACTTGTTGAATTGCTAAGAAAACCTGATGGTGATTGTTTTACCATGATAGCAGCAAGATGGACAGGTAAGATGGAATCTTCTATTAGCTCCTTGGAGAGAGAGCATACCAAAAGATTAGTGTATGGTATCCTGTATGGAATGGGTCCTAACTCTCTCGCAGAGCAATTAGAGTGTAGCCCTAGGGAAGCTGATGAAAAAATTCATAACTTCAAAGCATCGTTCCCTGGTGTTTCTGCCTGGTTGAATGCAGCTGTTGCGTCTTGCTGCGATAAAGGGTGAGTCCATCTGTTCACTTGCTTTGTTTTCATACTGCAATCTCTTGTTTTTTTTTTTTTTCTGTATGACTTGATCATTCTCAGCTTTGAGTATGGGCTCCTATTTATATGTTGTAGTTTATAAAATAAAAAACTATTAAGGTTGCTTGTTTTAAAAATATTTTGGAGCCATTAATAGCTATTTGTAAGTGTTCCTTAATGCACCCAAAAAGTGATACCTTCTACAACCAGGAAATGCTTAACAGAAACAATAAGAAGATCATATTCAATTGTGCATCTTTTTTATGTTTCCTTCTTTTTTCCATAAATGCTTTATCTGTGGAATCTAAAACCTCACTTGAAAATATAATCTAAACCTGTTATATACATAGTTATGGCATGTTATTATTCAAATTCCTAAGCGCTGAATCATTTCATTTAAACTCTCTAGGTCACCTAGCCTATAATATCACGATTTATTATTTTATTTTCAACTAATTAGTTAGGATTTTGGGCCGATTTTAGCAACAATTCTATCGTACCCCTTGTTGAATATTCACACCACACACAAAAAAAAAGTGTATGCAATACACCAATCAAAATTTTGTCGCTCATCTTGCCAACAAAGATATATATGTGGTTGGTTCATGATGAACGTTAACAAGCAATATTTGCATTCACCATGCTAAAAATGCATGTGTACATTTTGAGGAGTTCCCTTGACAACATGTTGTCAAGGAGAGGAGATACTTGTGAGGTAAATAGAGAGTGTAAAGACTTCTTTGTTGGTTATCAAAGCTTCTCGTGAGTTGAGGGCATTTATCGATAGATATTGTGCTTTTAGTATCATGATTTGTGGATCACTATATATGATGCAAAATGTTAAGGACATTTTTTGTTTTATTGTTTGTTGCAAGTACTTCTTATGACTTTTCTTGATTGGATCAACACTCTATAAAGAATATGAGTTGATCATGGTCAAAACTCTTTAAGATTGACTTCATTGGGATTATAGGTCAACTAATGATAGGCCTTGTGATATCATGTGATCTATTATAGTGAGCCATTTGAATTATTCTCCTTTTCTTTTTGGGAGACTTTGAGATTTCAACTTTATTTCATGGATTCAAGTGATCCATCGACAATAATTTTAAGTTTGGGCTTGTCTTTTTAAAGCTTCGTGCTTCATTTGAAAAATTTGGTGCGATGACCACTACTTGAGGATGCCAACCAAATGAATATTACTAGACTACTTGGAATGCACCTTTCAAAGTGTTCATTTTTTAAAGATTGTAGGTGGAATTTAACTAGCTTTTGTAAAATGTCAACTATGTTGGGAATTGTGATATTAGCTAAATTGGATCCCATGAGATACCCGGTTTCAACATTATTGACCGTATCTTCAGGAATAATATGATTGAAATTACCTCGATTTTTATAGAACTTTTGTTTACTTGTTGATTTTTCTTCTTTCTTAAGAAGGTTGATGTTAGTCCATTGAGGATCTCCACATAAAATACAAAGTCAACTCGTACTAATGCATCTTAATTAGGAATCTTTATTGAGTGTTCAATGTCAAGCCCAATAGATTAGGCTCATCCATTAATTGGGGGAGGATGAACTACTTTTTAGGAGCAAAGAGTGACAAATTCTAGGATAACCTTATCTCACAAATAGTCAATATTCTTGTCAAGTCCATCACTTTGATTCTTTTTTCAAATAATATCTTGCTAGTACAGTTGTGTCACATGTCATATGATTGATGATTTTGCTGTCAAATAACAAACCATGTAAACATTTATAATTGATCCCTTTGACGGGGTGATTTTCATGCAAAATCACATCATGAAGTTTTGATCACGGGTTGTGATAAGGACATTCGACCGTGAAAGTTTATCAGAGGAGAAAAATCAACGGTCATGATTGTACCACTTTATTTTGAGCTATTATTTATATTTTGATTTATTTATGTATTTTTTTTATTTTACCTCACTTGAGGGAGTAGGCCTATGTGATCTCAGGGGGCATTTTTGTCATTTGTCATATTATTATATTTTGGCTATTTATAGCCCACTCTTCTTTTTGAGGGATGGATAATTTTTAAGAAAAAAAATTCAGCACTTTGTTCTTGAGAGCTTTTATAGTTCTTATGAGATGTGAAGTCCCTAGGTGAGGACAACGTATTACCCACCAGTCGCAGGAAGCATCTGGGCTCATGATTTGATGTCCCTATGTGAGGGCAAAGTATTACATATCAGCCGTAGGAAGTGATGTAGGCAAGGGGGGGGGGGGTCAAATCTTCTTGAATTTCTTCTTGTTCTCGGGATGCTTGCTATTCTCTGTTTGGGGCCTTGACTGCTCTCACTTTGGCCTTGGTTGCTTGGTATTGAGCTCAAAAATTCTGGATTTTACTTGGTGTTAGCTCATAAATGTTTGAGCTGAAGTTTTAGCTCAATGAGTGGAGGATTAAATGCACTTCCTAGCTCTTTAATTCAAAAAGGTATGCTATTATTTCAATAATTCATTATGGAGTGGACTTGTGCCTCTTCTCCTCCCTTTGTCTTCTCGATTTCACCTTGCTGGTTGGTTTCCCGTGCCTTGCCTCTTTGTCTCCTGTGCTGGCTTTTCAGGTCTCTTGCTGGCTGGTTTCCCGTGCCTTGCCTCTTTGTCTCATGTGTTGGCTTTTCTGGTCTTTTGTTGGCTGGTTTCTCGTGGACTGTTGGGGGGGGGGATTCCCATGAGTTTTTTCCTGATTTTTGTGTAGTTTTCATGCTGCAGTTTTTGCTGTCTTTTGGCCTTCTAGTTCCCTTATTTATTATGTTTTAAATGAAGATTTTAGGGGCTGTTTGGCTGCCCTTTTTCTCCTATAAATACAAGATGTTTTGGGATAGAAAAAAGGTTGATATAATGAGATTTTTGAAGAAAAAAACCTGAGAGGTTTTTCTTCTTTGTTGGAAAAGCTTGCGAGCTTATTCCATCCCCTCTCCTTCTTTTAGGAAAGCTTGCGAGCTTCTCCTCCATTTCATCTTGGCTTCTAATCTCCTTCTTCTATCCGCAAGTTCGACTCCACTTGTATCCTTCTTCTCAAAGCAACGATTGGCAAGCTCCTTTAGGTGTCTTTAATTTGTGTTTGTGTCAAAGTTTATAAGTGTCATGAGTTGTAAGAGTCTTTTATTATAAAAATTTGTTGTGTTGTATTTTGCCTAGTTTTGAGTATTTCATGTAATCATCTAATTTATAGGAAAAGTATCTTTTTCTTTCTTGCTTTCCACTTTATTTTTATCTATAGATACTTTTCCTATAAATACTATGGATAAACATCAAGTGGAAAGCAAGCAAGAAAAGTATCTATGGACATTAAATCTCTTTTAATTAAATTGGCTTTGCTTGGAAACTATTTGAAATCCTTCCTAACTCCTCCCTCCCTCCTTTAGCTCCTCTCTAAATCCTATTTCCATTAAGGCTCCTAATTACATTTTCAATCAATGTCTATTAAAGAATTTCAAAACCCTAATTGATTATTTTTCATATGTGATGCATCATAAATTAGGAAGGTTTTAATTTTAGATTTTAATTCATTTTGAATTTGAAATTATTTCCTAACATAATATAAGTTATATTAGGGAAGTCTCTCCAATCAAAGCCAATTAAATTCAAATTTGATTTAGAGAGTCAATTGCATTAAAGCCTCTTTCTCCATTTAGACTGGCTTTGATTGACAATCTATCTCAATCCCTTAATTCCCTCCCACATCCCCGTTCTTTGAGTTGTGAGAGTTCTAGGAGAGAGCTTTGGAGGAGTCCCTAGGGAGGGAAAACGGATCATCCACCAACCTTGGAGACGGCCGGGTTCGTGGTTTGTTTTATCGTTTTTCTTTTGTTTCTTTCTTTCCATCTCCTTTTCCTCCTAGCCGCCGGATTCCCTCGCCAAACCCCCATCTTAAGCTGCCAGCCATCATAAACCCACCCTCACTGTCGGCTAAACCCCGCTCCACTCCCCATCCACACCTCCTTTCTTTTCCCCTCCACCATCCACGGGCCATCCCTAAACCGCCGGCCACCTCTTTGGCATTTCCCTCTTTTTCCCTTATTTCCTAATATAGATTGCCTATAATTAAGATTAATTTTGAATTCAAATCCAAGTGATTTGAAATTCAAAATCTTTCCTAAAATACAAAATCTATTTTAGGAAAGTATTTAAATCTCTTCTCAATTCAATCTTTAATTGAATGAGATTTAATCTCACTTACCTAATTGAAGATTCCCTAGTAAGCAAGCCATATACCCTTGCCTTAAATCCCTATCCCTTCCATCAAGCCGCCGGCCCCCCATAACCCTTTCTTCAAAATATTTCCTAAAGCTCCACTTTCCATATTTAACTCCACCTTTATTTGGAAAGAGTTTGAATTTTGAAATAGTTCAAATTTAAATCTCAACTCCTTCCTATTTCATTAATCCTATTTTTGGAAAGACTCTTAATTAAATCAATTAATTCAAATCTGAATTAATTGAGTAGTTAATGCCTTATCTCCAAATATATTGAACCTAGACCTTTTTCATCCCACCTGGTCAAATTGCCTTAGCCCCACCTATTTGCTTTCCTTCCAAAAGAAGGCTTCTTCTTTTGGAATCCTTTCAAACCTCCTTCCAAGTTCTCATTCACGCCTCCCTCCTCTTCCCGTGAAACTCTTGTTTGCTACCCACATTCCAGCAAAGTGTTTTATTTGCTGCCTTGCATGTTTTGAAGACTGCAGCTTGCTGTCCAGAATACTCCCAGCACCTTATAGTTGCTGTTAAGGTTTGCCCAAGCATCCAAGGTAGCTCTCAAGAAATTCCCAAGTGTCAACGCTACTGTCCAACCATCGTAGCAATCTCCTATTGCTGTTTTGCTGGCCTTAAATTTCAGATTGCTGTCAAATAATATCGAGAAGGCTGATTCATAGCAAACGGGTGAACTCTTACCTTCTCTCTTACCTTCCTCGTTGACCATTTACTTGTGGTTTTGATTGATTCATGAAAATCTTGCAAATGCTCCGCTAAAGCCTAGTATTTAGTAGAATTGTGTGAGGGATCTTTCATAGCACTACTTTTATTGTTAGAATAGGGATTTCTTGTTGAAACCTATCTCGTATGCAACGTCACGAGTAATTGGTTATTTTGTGGTTTTTACTTTTCGCAAGTGACTTGGCCTAAGCTCGTGTTTACCACTCTTTATATTTTATTTCATTGTTTGAATCATCATAAAGTTTTAATTAATTAGCTCTTACTCAATAAGCATGCAAAATCCTGATCTAAATCAAATTTTCATATATGTCCTACATAAGGCTTGCTTTTGGTTCTACATCAGGCTGTTCTCACAAGATTCTCATTGTTTAAAATGCTTCTGTGTAATGAATCAAAATGAGCACTTGATAGGTCACAGAACCCTATGTTAGTTATGGTCAACACAAATTTATCCTTTTAGGAAAGCATCAACTCCAAGCATGTAAGATTTCTTTGAACGAAACAACCCATGGATGCTGACAAGGATCATTCAATTAGATTGGTTTGACAACCTCTTTTGACTAAGTAGAGTATAAACTATGACAATTTGGGATGATGGAAACTTAGAATCTTGACCGGGGATGTTATCATTTTTCCCATCATCTGATTTAAGTGTAAGGTATTGAATTTCAAATCTTATATTAAACTGCTGCTGATATACGCCATGTACTTAAGTTCTAATTACTAGCTTTAATTAAAAGTTTTCTTTCGTTATCTAGAGAGATAATTAACCATAGGTGGTTGCACTTGTGTGAAACCTGAAACTAGATTTTAAAATTCTTCATAATGAGGGTGAAATATTTGGTAGTGTCTAATATATTTTCTTAAAATTGGACCCAAATAATAAAAGTACTCTCTCAGTAGGGTTGGGGTGCAAATTTTTTGTGGCCACACCAATTAGTTCTTTCGTGCTGGCCTTCAACAATTTTTCAACAAGTTTGATCCATGTTTTCTTTTGGTTGTTTTTGTTTGCTCATTTCCTTGATGGGCTTTTCATCAATCAAATCCTTTTTCATCTACTTAAGTTACGTAGATTCTATTACCATTATTCCATTTATATATACTTATTTTACGCTTAATTTTCCTATTTTATCCCTCCACTCTTTTTAACATCCCCATTGATGTAGCACTTACGACTTCTATGTTGGGCCTATATGTTAACACATTAATCTTTAGAGTATTTAAGACTTGTTAATTATAATTTTTTCCCTTGAATCACCTTCATATACTATTTATTAGTGTTTCCAAATTCCAACTTACCTATATTGGTTTTAACCATATGATCTTCATTGAACTTGTGCACCTTTTTAAATAGAAACAAAAATTTACCTCTCTATGTAATTCATATATATATATATATATATATATATACATACATATAAGCTGCATTCATAAGTTCTCAGATAAATTTTAAAATTTTTTGCTTTTTATGAATTCACAAGTTCTCAATTATTCACAAAATTTTAATTATTTATTTTATGATAATAGAAAAGATTATAGTAAAGTGCAAATGTAGAAGTTTGTATGACACCAATGATTTCCCTGATGCACTGTTCGTGCGTTTATAATTTTGCAAAGCAATATTATGCTTCTTGATGTCACTGTTGCCTTCATTTATGAGTACGTTTGTGGGATTTTTAAATAACATTGTAAATGTAGATATGTAGAAACCTTAATGGGAAGAAAGCGCTTTCTGTCAAAAATAAATTTTGGAAATAACAAAGAGAAGACGAAAGCTCAGAGACAGGCTGTTAATTCCATATGCCAGGTATTCTGAAATTTTTTTAAGGGGCTTTGTTTGAGTTTGGCTTTATTGGTAATGTTTTATGGTTTCTTTCTTTTCTAGGGCTCAGCTGCTGATGTGATCAAAGTTGCAATGATAAAAATCCACACAACTATTGTTGAAGGTATTTACTTGCCTGATGCAGACAGTAGATTTGAGGTGCAGTTCTCCGTTCTGAGAGGTCAATGCAGAATTATTTTGCAGGTACTTACGGAGACATTTCGCTGCTTTTACCTAATTTTCTTATTATGTAGATTATCGTGGTTTGGATAACCAAAAAATTATTTTCTGCATGTTTCTCATTGCTAGAGGAAATAGAATTCATTATGATTGTTATTCTCGGTATGTTAACAAAATAAAGATACACGCAAACTGGTTCTGAATGCATAAGACATCCCTGAGTAGTGCTCAACCTCCTCTCCTCATAACTTAGTATTCCTTGATCCATCATATATAGAATCAGGAGGTTCATTGTTCCGTAATTTTTTCTTGTTGAAGCGCACTGGTTGTTGTTGCTTTCTAATTCCGGCCCTAGTTTTTTTATAGCTTCATAATTGTTTTACGGTGAGAGAGAAAGAGGAGTTCAAGGTGCCTCTTTTGGGGGTATCTTTGACTTCTTCAAGTGGAGAGGTTTTGATGTTTTCTGCTCCAACAAGAGGAAAGAAATTTGGCCATAACAGATAGAATCTGTTGTTTGAATTCCTGCGACAGAGAAGCAAGAAAAGCAACAAGAATAACAATAACTTATTTTCTATTTCCAGCTCTTATCTTTGTAGCAGTGGCTGTATTTTCACATAATAATTGATATAGATAATTTGTTCCCTTCCCCCTTTTGCAGTTTAGTAGATTATTCGCTATATATGTTGGGCTTAGATGTAACTTACTAAATCCCCCAATAAATTTTTTTGGTACTTGTATATTTGTTGTGTTTGATTTCTCTTCCTCATGCTTTCTTGTTAGTCTATTCGATATCTATAGACATGTTATCATTTTTTTTTCTATGAAATTTTGAAGTAACATTCTTCCATGCTTTTGAATACTTGGAACTAAAGGTTCCACTTTCAATGGACATTGCTTCTTAAAATGTCATTTGATGCTGTTTTGATAGTTTTATGGAAGAGAGATCTCCATCAGAAAACAAACTGACTAATTCATCCTCATTTTTATAAACTATACTTTTCTCTGCAGCTTTTTTAGAAGGTGTAATTAGCATTGGAATGATTTAGGAATGTTTGTTGTAAAACTTTCTCAATCCTCGTCCCTTTACCATTATGTACGCTATAATAAAGTCCTTGATAAGTTCCAATGATTTTTGTCAAGATCAATGGTCTTATTGTTCATTTCATTTTGCATAAACTCTTAGGTGCATGATGAACTTGTGTTGGAAGTAGATCCCCGTTTTGTAAGGGAGGCCGCAATACTACTTCAAACTAGCATGGAGGGCGCTGCTTCACTTTCAGGTATCATTTAGCTCCAGTGTTAGTCCTTTATACTAGATTTATTTCTGTAGTGACAACTTGAATGTTATTTTCCAGTTCCTCTGCGCGTCAAAATGAAGATTGGAAGAACATGGGGTACGCAGGAGCCTTTCTTGTTGGATTCTTAATTCTATTAATGAACCGAAAACAAGCTATCTGAGGATTTGTGTAATTGGCGGATGCTGGTAAGTTGTACCAATTTCTTCTATTCGATGTTTTACATATTTCATATTTTCCTTGACTGCAAAACTTTATGCCAAGCAAAATTGTCTGATATTTCAGAAATTTTTAGATTATTTTATTATTTGTAGTAGGGATGGGTTCAAGTATTATTATTCTTGATATGAATTGCAGAATCAACTTGATCATCAGGAATTTGCTAGCTTTTTTTTATTAAAAAATAAATCACAATTAAATGACAACTTATTATTTTTGAAGATAATTGGCCCCTAATTTCATTAGATTTGTGATTGAAATGATGCAATCTCCATTGTGAAAAATTCAATGATGCTAAAATCTTTCCATATTTAAATTCAAAGGATCTCAAAAAGAGGGCTCAAGGGGCTATCATGACCCTTTGCTTACTTAGTCAGAGGAGATAGTCAACTCAATGTTATTGAAGGATTCTTGTTGATAGTCATAAGTTTCTTCGTTCAAGGGAATTTTGTTGGTTTTTAATGGATGCTTGTCTAAGAGGAAAAATTCATGTCAATCTTAATTAATAGTAGATTTTGTGCCATAGTAAGTGCACCCTATGATCCATCACTTTAGGATTTTTATCCATTGGGAACTACCTGTTAAAGGCCTCTTGTTTACATGTGGTGTCATTTGTTGACAAAATCACTTGTTAGAAGACACATGCTAAGTTTTTATTAGCATGTTATTACTTGAGAATGATTCGTAGTAATACAAATGACAATATATAATATATTAGCTCAAGTTATTCACAAATTTATTACCCTCGACAAGTGGTTGTGTAGGTGGATGGATTTTCTACTAAGTTTTATAGGATGGTAAATTTCATTTGAATATTATGTTTTTTATTGAATTTTTATATTTTTATAAAAACTTAAACCCCACAATAGCTTACTTTGAGATTAGAGAGTATTTTTATAAATTGTGTTCCCTCTGGGTATGATTCATTCTTAACACGATCATCATTGTGGTGTAAGAATATTTCAATTTTATCATTTAAATCTTAACTCTATCCAATTACTGAAAAATGTTTAGATTTTGATGTTTTGAAAATATTTTTCGCTCTTATTAAGGTTACTTTCGACACAACTATCATCACAGTTACATCAAAGTCACTTGGAGTATTTATGTTTGCAATATGAAAATGTAATTTTGAATTGGTTATTCCGAGTGAAAATTTATGTACCCAACATCGATTATTAGTTTTGTGAAAAATGTTTAGATTTTGATGTTTTGAAAATATTTTTCGCTCTTATTAAGGTTACTTTCGACACAACTATCATCACAGTTACATCAAAGTCACTTGGAGTATTTATGTTTGCAATATGAAAATGTAATTTTGAATTGGTTATTCCGAGTGAAAATTTATGTACCCAACATCGATTATTAGTTTTGGTCTTTAAGATAAAGGGGCATAAAATAAAAAATAAAGTAAAACAATTTTCTAGGATTAAATGGGGGCTTTTAAAGAATATTAATAAAAATATTTTTGGAAATAAGATTTTAGATCTTAAGATTTTGTCTGTGCATGAGGATGCTAATATTATGTGGGAAAAAGTGGCTAGTGATATTAAGAATATTGCAAAAGATATCCTTGGAGTATCAAAGGGAAAAACTCCCAATAGTAACAAAAGTTGTGGTGGAATCTAATGTGCAAGAAAAGATTAAAAAATAAGAAGCTTTGTTATAAAATTGGTTTAATTTTAAAAATTCTGATAATTGAGAAATATATAAAGTGACTCGTAAAGGATGCTAAAGATAAGCAATATGCGATGCAAAGGCTTAGACTTAGTGATTTTATTAATAGATTACATACTAAAAGAGGGAGAAAGATATATGTATAAGTTAGCCAAAACAAAAGATAGAGAAGTTAAGATTTATTCAAGTGAAGTGTATTAAGATGAACGATGCAAAAATATTTTCTTAGAAGATTGATATTCAAACAAAATGGATGAGATTTTTTGGACTCAACTTTTAATGAAAATTGTGAAATTAAGATTTGATATAGTGACCTTAGCACCACCCTTAGATGAAAATAAAGAATTTATGTTTTTATACTGGCGTAATTATAAAATTGATAGTAAAGGCTTTAAAGAAATGAGGGGTGGAAAAAGCTTGTTGAACTGATAATTTTCAATAAAGGTACGGAAATGTCTTAGGAGATGAAGGAATTCATATGTGCTTACTAAAGCTTTTAATACTATTTTGAAGACAACGAAGAATGCTAATGAGCTGGAGAATTGAGTGTGTTAAATTCTAGTTTTAAGAATAAAGTGATGTAACACGAGATTGTAGCGACCATTATAGAGGTATTAAGTTAATGGTGTTACTTTAAAACTATGCGGAAGGCGAGTTTTGAGCATAGGTTGCGGCGTGATAACTCAATGTTTTAAATCAATTTGGATATCGTTGCCGGGTAGGTCGCATATGGACAGCCATACATTTATTAATGAGGTTTGATGGAGAAATACGAGAAAATAAGATGATCTAACATATGATATTATTGATTTAGAAAAGCTAATGATAAAGTTCCAGAGAAGTGCTATGGGAGATTTTTGAATAAGAAAGGAGTCAATAAGGCTTATATTCAAATCATTAAGATATGTATGCAGGCAGCTATTACTTGTGTTAAACACAAGGTGGATTGACAAGTATTTCCCTGATTTCGGTTGGGTTACATCATGGATCAGCCTTAAGCCCATATCTATTTGCTTTAGTCATGGATGTTCTCACTAGACATTTGCAAGATGATGTACCTTGGTGTATGCTTTTTGCTGATGATATTCTTCTTGTTGATAAGACTAGAGAGGGAGTTGAAGGTAAACTTGAATTATGGAGGTCAACCTTAGAGTCTAAAGGTTTTTGCTTGAGTAGATCTAAAACGGAATATATGGAGTGTAATTTTAGCAGTAATAGTCCTAGTGAGGGGATTGTGACTTTGGGCGATCAAGTCATTAATAAGAGTACACGTTTTAGATATCTTGGATCTATTGTTCAGAGTGATGGTGAAATAGATGGGGATATTATTAGCAGAATTCAAGTTGGATGGTTGAAGTGGCGGAATGCATCGGGCTTGTTATGTGATCGAAATGTACCCCTCAAACTTAAGGGGAAATTCTATAAGATGGTAGTGAGGCTTGCAATGCTTTATGGTGCTGAATGTTGGCCATTAAAAGAGAAGCATAATTCTTTGTTAAGTGTGGCAGAGATGAGGATGCTCAGGAGATGAGGATGCTCAGGTGGATGAGTGGCTTTACCCTTAGAGATAGGATACGAAATGAGCATATACGTGAAAAGGTTGGAGTAGCTCCAGTAGAAGATAAGATTAGAGAAAGTCGCCTTAGATGGTTTGGTCACATAAAACGGCGGCCTTGCGATGACCCGGTTAGGAGAGTAGAGGTATTAGATTTGACTTATGTTAAGAAAGGTAGGGGTAGACCTAAAAAGACTTGGTTAGAAAAAATTAGGAATGACCTTTCTTTATTAGATTTAAACGAGAATTTGACTTTTAATAGGACACAATGGAGAAAAAGGATTCATGTAGCCGACCCCACGTAGTGGGAAAAGGCTTGATGTTGTTGTTGTTGTTGTTGTACAGTTATCAATAGGGTGTTAAATTTTTTTTTTTTAACTTTTTTTGTCCTTGTCAACTCTGCTATCTTACTTTAAGAGGATCAAGTAAACTAAGTTCATTTATTTTTTAATTTGCTCAGTATTCTTATATAATAAGTTCATACAGTGTATTTGTCACAGTACATGCTGACAAATTTGTTTTAAAGACTTACATAATTTAAAAAGTAAAAGCTCTAAATAGTCCCCTGACTATTAATAAATGTTCTAATTAGTCTCAATTTTGTATTGCTTCAATTTGGTCCCTCAACTATTGAAAATTGATGAATTTGAATCCGGGGAACGATTTACCATTTAAATTAACGGAAAAAGCTCGAGAGATTCATTTCTTTGTGGGCATTCAGGTAAAATGACTTATTACCTGCTTGACGCCTTCCCGCTATACGCCTTGAAGATCTATTTGTGTGGTGAAGCTGCGTAGAACGAGATGCGAGCGACCCAATGCAACATGAGCGAGCAGGCCGCGAGAGAGCAAGGCATGCTTCAATTTGCATTCCAAATTGGCATGTAGAGGAGATAGATGACGCACTGCGAGCGTGACAACCGTTTGGGGCTTTTTCGATATAGGAAGAAAGACGGCTACCTTTATAATGAGCAAGCTCTCATCGTTACTTTTGATCCTATAGAAGAATGACGAGGATGTGTTACTTCGGATCCGACAGGAAGGAACGTCGTCGAAGGAGGCGAAGAATTTATTTAGTGACTTGTTCAAAACACTACCTCTCACATGAAGCTGGTGAAGTCGAGAGCAACGAACCGCTGCAGAGGAGGAAAAGCAAACATTCGGCTATAGCTAATTAGAAGAACATGCATTGCTAGAGAAATATAACATATAAGCAAATTAGTTTAGTTTAACTATTTTAATTAAAGTTAATAAATATTATGATGTAATTAATAAAGAAATAATTAATTAGATTAATTGATAATTAACTTATATTTTAATTCTATTATTTATAATAGTTAGTTAATAATAATTAACTCATAGATAATTAAAAGTATAATCAAAATTAAATTAATAAGTTATTTCATAATTAAATTTTATAATTATAATTTATTTACAATAATTAAAAATAGAATTAATAAATACCTTTTATTTAAAATATAAATCAAATTTAAAATTAAAACGCATATTAAATTTGATCTATTAGTGAACTAAATGATGTGAAATGGACTTGTGATATTTTTGTTATATTTAAATAATATGAATTGTAATTTTTATCATGCCGTATTTTGCTTCAAAAAAAAAATTTACTATTTATTCAGTCTTATTATGTAGTAGATTAAATAAGTGTTATAATTTATTAAATGATGAAATTGAGAAATATAAGTAATGTAATCACATATCCATTTGTAATACCTAAAATATCATTCATATTTAACTTTAACTTTTATTTTAGGTTTTGGGATGAAATTAGCTCAATTTTTAATAGTTGAGGGACTATATTGGAGCAATATGAAATTCTGGGACTAAATTGGACATGAATTAATAATCGGGGGGATTATTTTTATCTTTTACTCGTAATTTAAATGACATGCATTTTTTGTGTGCTTTTATAAAGCACATTCACATAGCTTTTAACATATGTGCACGGTGCATTTACACATTTTGTTGTAGATACATTAGTATTTGTCTGTATATGGGTTAGTTTACTTTAATTATTACCGACATGGCATTATTTCTCTTTCTATTTTTTGAAAGTGTATTCAGTTCATTTTCATTCAAATTCAATTCACCGAGTAGGTCCCTTTAGGTTGCAAGTATTCTTATTATCGACTGGAAAGCTTTGTGCTCGCAGGCAAGGTTTCCAAGTTCTTTTCAAGTTCATTGTAAGTTTTTAATTTTGTTAGTTCAAAGCGATGAATCTACATTTTAGTATTTTCATTTAACACTTGGTATTTATTTAAATTTTTATATCATTACATTTTATTCTAGTAAGTCCATTTCAAATGTTCTTTGTTTAAGTGGCGTTCAGACACAATTTCAGTAATCTCTTAATTTCTTTCTAATGTTGGGGAATCATCGGAAGTCCTTGGCCTTCCCACAGCTCCAAGAAAAACATACATGGTTTGTGTCATAAGATATTGCTATGGGGTTCTTCTATCCCAACTTACCAAAAAAAGATATGCATGTGTCTTCATGTACCTACCTATAACTTGTAATGTTTAGTGTAAATTTTCACAGCAACTCAAAGGGGGCATCATTAGAAATGCTAGTCCTTCTCATTAGGCCAAAAAAGACTATGATTGGTGTCATATGACACCACGATTAGGGGTCTTTTATCCCTCCACACCAAAAAATGCATGCATGTGTGTTTGTATAGCTCTTTCGAAATTTATAAAATCATCAAAGTTCTTGTTTCCATTGTTCAGGTGGCCAACCAATGAAAATATTGGGGTTTAGCTCTTTATAAAATCATTTCTAACAGCCATGGATGCTTAAAAAATGGCCTGTCTGCTACACAGAATGGTTAAGAAGTAGCGCTATGAAAATTTTTTCCTCTTCTTATTTTTCCCTATCGGAAGATGCTATTATCGAAAAGACAACAAGATAAATGGTTTTCAGTTATTCTTCCAAAATTATATTTGAGAAGTTTGGCGTGCAAAGTTCAGAGGATGAAAAATTTTGCAGCAATATTCATCTGAGAAGTGAAAATTATCAAAACACGGCCCTTTCAGATCTGAGTTTAGTTTTTAGGTCCAAACAGCTGTTTTAGCATTAGAAACACAAAAGGACTTGATTTGACTCTAATTCATTTCATTGAGAAACCATGCGAATGTATGTCAGATTCAATTTTCAACATACTCTGAATAATCTTGCTCTGGAGGGAGGACCACATGCATCTCAACATTTAATGGAGGTTAGCACTTATTTAACTCTTCTTTCTACTAATTTATGATTATAAACGTTTTGCAATATTCGTTATGATTCTATTTTTAAACAATATTAATCTTCTTCTAGAGAGAGTCGCCTTAGATGGTTTGGTCACATAAAACGGCGGCATTCTGATGACCCGGTTAGGAAAGTAGATATATTAGATTTGACTTATGTTAAGAAAGGTAGAGATAGACCTAAAAAGACTTGATTAGAAAATATGAGAAATGATCTTTCTTTATTAGATTTAAACAAGTATTTTACTTTTAACAGGACACAATGGAGAAAAAAGATTCATGTAGCCGACCCCATGTAGTGGGACAAAGACTTGATGTTGTTGTTGTCGTTGTTGTTATTAATCTTCTTCTAACCGATGCTTAATGTCAAGTCATTATTCTACTAGTTTTTTTAATATGATTTCATCCTTTATATTTGACGGCTGATTTGTTACTTGATTGATGCTTGTACCCTGCTATTGTTAGATTTCTGTTATTTGAAATGATAAAACAGTATAATGGTTCTATTTTAGTCTGAAATCTCGGGTTTTATGCTGTTTTTAATCTGATTTATTGCACTAAATTGCCTTTTTTATCCTTCAATTTAGTTTTATGGTTGAGTTGTTGTATCGTCTAACATCTCAATTAATAGACATCTCAATTATATTAAGGTTTCGTTTGAGATAATTTTTTTGTTGCTTTATAAAACAACTTTTTAGTGCAAAAATTTCTTGAATTAGAAAATTTTATACTAGAAAACCGTTTTAGGAAGCAACATAAAAGCTGACTCAAATGAAACTTAAATTAACTTCCAAAACGTATTAGGTAATAATAAGACTTACCAAGTTTGACTACTTTCTCATAAGTTCTCAATATTTTATGTGTTGGAATGTTAATGACTATGAAATATCTGGCAAGTGTGTGGTACTAGGCAAAATATTCAGGTGGTGTTGTGATGGTTCCAAGCGCAAGATTTCTGAAAGGAATTACAGACTTTTAAATTTTTAATTTTTTTATTTATTTTCCAATGGCTGAACCATTTTGTTATTGAATGATAACTTACATGCCATTCCTTAATCTTTTCTGCACACTACGATTAAGTTCTTGTGCCATGCTTCTTCAAATTTCTAATTCCCAGCTTTTATACCTTTCCACTTGATTTCTTACAGGCAAAAATTCAAAAATGTGTGGCATATTGAACTCAAAATTGACCATAATGGCTGAAAGTTGGTAGCCAACAAGGAATGGTTGCTGGCACTTATTAGGACCTGAACTAGAATTCGTGTTTGCAGCTTTCTAAGAGTGCGTTCTGTACATTTATAATAAATGCAGATTAACAAGTCTGCTTTTCTAGCCTAATTTGCTGGCCCATAGGCTTAAATTTTGCTAATTGATTTCTCTTAATGATGGTAGTCATTGTAAGTTGATGCAACTTTTGGTTAATTTGTAAACTGTATCATTCATTCAATTTACAATTTTTTGGCCATTTTTGTGGCCAAGTTAAGAACGCATGTTTTGGTATATTTGAACAGGTTTGCAATAAAGTTTGTTGGAAAATTATATTAATGAGCCTTATAAGCATGTTTGTAATGAACTTCAACTCAGGCTTCATTTGGGTAGTTTTCTTATTGCTTTCTAAAACAATTTTTTTAGTACAAAAAATTCATAGTTCAAAAAAATATTTACTAGAACGCAGCTTTAAAAAGCAATAAGAAAGCCGCACCGAAGTAAGGTTTCGTTTGGGATAGCTTTCTTATTGCTTCTTAAAGCAATTTCTTATTTGTAAAAAAAAATTATTATTTTTTTTTAAATTGCTTTAAGAAGCAGTAAAAAAGTCATTCTAAACGAAGTCTAAACCTCAGTTTGTAAGTTTACATTCTTGGTAACAATGTTCTTGCGAGAATGCCAGTTTAGGTTTAGTTTAAGTTGATTTAGCTTAGTTCTACTTGGGATCATGACTATGAGCTCAGTTGATATTGATACATCTTACTAATGATTCATAAAAAATAATAACAAATTTATTTTGTTGGATTATTTATGGCTTAAAAGCTAGTTTATTATGGTGGCAATGTTTTTAGCATTTATAGGCAGATGACTGTAGGTGTTTTGGAAATATTAATGGAATTTTTTGACTGTGTGTAGGTGTTGATATGTGATAACATGTAATTTTTTTATGAATTGTTTTGATGTAGCGTATGATTTTAACTCAAAAGGCAAAAGTATAAAGAAGTGTGTAGATAGATAAATTAGGCTTAGATTTCACTTTTCTTATTTGAATTGATTATCACCTACTTTTTATGTCAAGAGCAACTTCATCTTACAATATAAATTTTTTTATTGATAATAATTATTTTATCTTTTTGTAAGTTTAAAGTTATTGAAAGTTGATCAATGGTTGAAATTTAGTTGGAATGTAATTAGAATTTGGATGATGTTCGCGGTATGTTTGTGATCATCTTAATTGAAGTTTCATGTGACTAATTCTATTTACAAGTCTAAGTTGTTAATCTTTTCTACCTCTTGTTAGTTGATTAAGGTTCAAATAACTTAAAATGATTATTGGAAATTAGATTAGGTCAACCATTGAATTTGAATAGGGTTGGTCATATGAAACTTAGGTGAGGATGTCATCTAATTTTATGTTTAAAAAAATATAATAATCATTTAAATAAGAAGTATCTTGCAAGGTGTTGGTGCTTTACGCCCTTGTCATGTGATGAATGTCATCAACAATTCACATAAGAAAGTGAAATTCAAGTTTTTTATTCGAGTCTTCTTGTTTAGAAGTATAAAATTTTGTCTTACCCTTCTAGATAGATAAGGGGGTTCATCTTCTTGTTTAGAAATATAGAATTTTGTCTTATTGTACTGTTATTTTGAGTTTTGATCTTGCATTGCATCATATATGTTTTTACTAAAACATCTTGAACTTATTCTTTTCTACATGTTAGTGTTGTCCATTTGCTTCTTAATGATCTTGTTGTCAATGGTTGTACCTATAACCTAATCTTGACTAAGGTGGCTATTGCATTAAATGCTTGTTCCTATCTTGTAAGTCTTTAGATTGCTTGTTCCTATCTTGCAAGTTTTTAGATTGCTTATTGCTAACTTATGTTAATGTTGTTCATTTGCTCACTTTTGTTTTTGACCTTAATTGTTTTAGCTCCAATGAACCTTAGTTTATGCAAACGTTTGTTTCTATCATATAAGTCATTATATTAATTCTTTTTTGAAAGTATGAAATTTTGTCATACCCTTCTAGATAGATAAGGGTGCTTATCTCTTTTATTCGCTCTATATATTTTCACCCTTTGCTGGATAGTTGAGTCTGTACGTGCTCCCTATACATTATGCGGGGAAGTACAAAAAATAGTTAAAAAAAAAACTTAGCAGGATTGTTTGGCATCTTTTTTTTAAAAAAAAATTGTTTATAGTATTTTGTCATTTTTATTTATTATTGTAAAAACAAATCAAGTTATTTTTAAAATATTAAAAATAAATTTGAGGTTTTTTTAGTTACTATTAAAATAAACATCATTACTAATTACCGTCATTATTACTGGCGTCCAATTTCTAATACCACTAACAACCTCTAGTCATTCATCATGGACAATATTTTTATTAGTGGTCGTTGTGAACCATCGTAAGTGATAGCTGCCACATCATGTAAATTAATTTATTTGATATTAAATAAAAATAAGAAAGTAATTCATATTTTAAAAATACATTTAACTAAGGATATCCTGTCGTTGCCGGATCCCAAGTCCTGGATGAGAAAATTGGAGGGTTGCTTTGATAATCAAAAGCCAACGTAAAACTTGTCGAATAATCATTACATGAATCCTTTATATAAATAATTTCATATTAAAATTATAAAAAAAAAAACATAGAATTTGAACTATCGTCCTTTTTATAAATTGAAAAATAATCCCTTGTCATTACTCATTTACTTGGATAGAATCTTTGCAAAAAATAAAGTTATTATCTTATAATATAAAAAAAAAATCAATTCAAAAATATTTTTTTTATTTTTTTGTACACATACAAATCTAAATTTATTAAAAAAAATTATCCTAAGGCAAATCTCATTGACTTAACCTTTGACATTGGTTTGCTTATTAGATGGCCATAAAAAGCTTAGATTTTCACAAATATTAAACAAAGCTTAATATATTTTAAGTCTCCCTCCCTTTTTGGGATTCAAAATCAGAGAAGACTTTCAGTAGAATAAGACATTGGAGAGCTCTTCTCATGGCTACAGTCCTCATTATTTCACGTGAAAGCTCCGCAAAAGGTGGAGAAGGAGTCTCATCTGATTATCATAAAGCTATTGGCTTTAGGGGAACTCCACTTCTGATTTGCCGTTGCTTAGTTCTTGGAAGCTCGTGCCTTTAGGAATATTACACTGCTACTCATTTCCACCCTCATAATAATAATAATAATAATACACTTAAGTTTCGTTTGAGGGAGCTTTCTTAATGTTTCGTAAAGCAATTTTTAAATAAAAATTTAATTTTTTATACTATAAAACTGCTTTAAGAAGCAGTAAGAAAATCATCCCAAATGTAGCCTTAGACTTCGGTTAAGATGACTTTTTTGCTGCTTCTTAAAGTAGATTTCTGGTGCAAAATAATAATTATTTTAAATATTACACTGCTTCTCATTTTCACCTTCATTATAATAATACACTTATGCATTTTGATGGCTTTTTTTACTGCTTTCAGTAAAAATTAACTTAAGAAACAGTAAAAAAACCGTCCCGAACGAAGTCTTAGAAGTGGTAGTAAAAAATTCAAAGATCATTATAAAGTAATACTATATATGTTCAAATGAGAAAGGAAATTGGTGTCAACCTCCTCTTTGTCTTTTTTGCCATCTTCTTAGTCCTTGTGCTTCTCTTATTGAGAGAGAGAGAGAGAGAGAGAGAGAGAGAGAGAAGGGGGGAGGCATTGAAGAGCTCTGTTTCTAAGAGTGTTTTCTTATGATTAGTCAATGGTAATGGAAGAATTATTATTTCAAATAAAATGGAATAAAAAAAATTATCATAAATTTAGGAGTGGTTAAACTTCTATAATTAGTGCATATGATTGAAGAGAATTTATAGATGAGATTTTAATTGTATGTATAATTATAATTATTTTTCTCAATTTTAAGATTGTGACAGACATTTGAATATATATTATTACTTCTTAGAGTCTTAGTTCTTGTGCTTCTCTTAGAGAGAGAGTGAAGAGAGAGAGAGAGAGAGAGAGAGAGAGAGAGAGAGAGATGGGCAGTGGGAAGGGAGCCAGGATGGATAAGTAGGCCAAAGGAAGTGACAAAATATGCCAACTTGTCTTCTTTCCTGCATGGATTTCCTTTTTTAAAAAAAAATGAAGGAAGATATCAAGAAATAAAGAACCAAGAGTGTCACATGCAAAGCTTACAACTTCATTTCTCTACTGAATTTTTCCTTCAAAAATCAATTAACAGTAGCAATATATCTCTTGCAAGAGGCTTAATTCCATTTCATGTTATTTAGCTCTCTGATTATAAAGTATTTTTTGTATTGCTTATACATAAATCCTTTGTATAATGCGAATAAGAAAATATAAAATAAAAATAATTGACTTGCATACTATATTTTCTTACTCTGAGAGAGAAAAAAATTAAGGTTTAGTTTGGGACAACCTTTTTATTTTTTTCAAAAAAAAATATAATACAAAAAAAATTTACAAAAAATATTTTAGAAAATAGTAAATTTTAATTTAAAGGAGAAAGTACAATACTGTATATGACTAGAAAGATAGTGTTTTCAAATCAATCAAAGCTTCAAGGTGAAAGGTTTTGGAACAATATATTAATATGTAGAAATTTAATATTATATATGATTATATTATAATGTTATTTTTTATTTACTTTAAATGATACTATTTAAGATATTTTTTGAATAATATGAATGATAAGGTCAAAGTGGTGCGAATTAAATTAGGTGGAAGATTGAAAATGATTTGAAAATAAATTAGTTTTGAAATTTATTAGTGATAGGTTATAAAAAATATGCTTGAAGTGGCTTGAATTTTGATGCATGTTTGAATAAAAATATTTTGAAATTAAATTCAAGGTTATAAAAACTCTAATTTCAGCAAATTTATTGTCAACCAATTTGCTCTATGAGATGAACTCAATGACATAAAAAAATGATATGATCTGAGTCTCATAAACTTTGATCAATTGCTTGAAGCATAGTTAAGTATCTTGGGATGTCAACTGGAGGACTAAATGATCTTTAAATTTTACATGTTTATTGTCAACTCAAGCATCTTAGTAAGATAAATCCAATGAGCCTAAAATTGCTTAATACTGACAATAAGCCCCTTAAATACTAAACAAATGTTTTATAACTAATTAAGTCAATATGAGTCATTCAATAGAGTGCCCTAAAATTTCTTCATATTAACAGGACATACCACTCTCACAAATCTTATATGGGCCCCAACAAAAAAAGGACCCTTGGCTGAGATTGCAGAGAGATCAAAAGCTTGAAAAATCCTAAAGCTCGACCTAAGCATAATTGTCTTCAGACTATTGCTTCAATGTCATCGCCTAACCACCATCCTACCACTATCATTGGACAACCGATCGACTGCAGTGGTCGAATCTTCACTACTCAATTGTCATCGCCAAACCACCATCATCGAACCGCCACTTGACCGCCATCACCCGACCAGCATCATTTGATTATTGCAACCTGACCACAATTGTCCCACCATTGCTAACGATGGATCATCACCTTCATACCTTCATCACTGGATCACCATAGTTGATTTGTTTTTCAAATAGTACTCATGATTTGATTTGATTATTGCTTTCTTTCTATTTTCTCTCCACTTTTTAAAAAATTATGAAGTAAAAAATTATTTTTTTGCGACCATTATAGCTAAATTACTTCCCCGCACCTAGATCTTTAATTGGTTATGTGCTTCGGCTACCATCTAGGAGGTCGTGGGTTCAAAGTTTGTGCATGTGATGTGTGTTTGTTTGCCTTATTTGGCTTAAATGTCCCCAAAAAAGAGTGAAAATTTCTTCACAGCAACTTCATAATCAACTTTATAAAAAGTTGACGGGTTTGGGATGGCTAAACCTTCTTATAGAAGTGATTGTAAAGCTGTTGTTTGAAAAGTAACTTTTTTGAAAGTTAATGTAAAAAATCATCTTCATAGTATAGAGATTTCTTAAAATACCAAGAAAATAGCAAACAAATAAAATTTACGCTTACAATCTAAAAAGCAAAACAAAATAAAATTATCCCAAAAATATCCAAAATCTATTTCAAGATTATTATAACATAAAATTTAAATTTAAGTAAATTTCAAAATTGATTATAATTCAATTTATAATTAACTAATTTTTTAATCAAATTAATCAAAATTAAATTTAATTAAATCCTTCTCAAGGTGAGCTTAAATTTTTTGAATTTGATTTGAATTGAATTGGCTCAAACTCATCACTATTATATCAATAAAATTTGAATTTAAACAATTAGAATATATTAAATATCTTATCCTTTGAAATATTTAATTAGTTCTCTTATCTGAGATGTGGCTATTTATATTAAAATAGTCCCTTTAATTTGTCATTCTCACTATGAGGAAATAGTCTCCCATGTTATATGAATTTTTGTCTTTCTTTGTTATTTTTTTGCCACGTGTAAAATTAAGCTCAAATCATGTTGTTGTTTGAGGGACAACAATAACAGTTCTAAGCCTGTAGTGCTCATTGTTTTACTGTTTTGTAAGCCTTTTACTTCTTTTTTTTTTTTTTCAATTTAAGGAATTGTGGCTTCCCAATGCAAAAAAAAAAAAGTTTATTTTTATTGTTAGAATTTATTGACCAAATATATATATTTGGATTTACTTGAAACCCATAGGATTTGCTTTGAGATTAGTATTATTATTAAGAACTTATTTCGCACTAATCTCTAAATAGATATAGAGATTTTTGAACTTATTCTGAAATAAATTATATTAGGGTTGTATCACAAGTTTTTCTTCATTTATATCAGATTGATTAAGGTTTTGTTTGGGACGGCTTTCTTTCTGCTTCTTAAAGCAGCTTCATAGTATAAAATTTTTAGAAAGTTGCTTTAAGAAGCCGATAAAAAAGTCATCTCAAACGAAACGTAAGTTGGTGTAAGGCAGTAAGGGCATGGATTTAGTTCAATAAATGATTAATTTTGATGTGATTTAAGTCACTTATAACTTGGTACTCATCAAATATAAAGTCTATCAAATCCTATGTTATGAAGCTTGTCAACTCTCTTAAGGCTAGAGTTCTACTTAACCCTGAAAAACTCTCAAATTGTCTACTTGGTAAGCCAAATCTATTAGAAAACTGAGCTGCTCATGTAGAGTACTAATTTATTAAATTTGGATTCTTGTCAATATAATTCATTAAGAATGCTCGCAATGTATACGAAACTCGACAGAAGTTGAAGTTTAGTGAAAAGCTATATATATATCAACTATTTCAGGGGCGGAACCAGCTTCAATTTTGAGAGGAGGGGGGGCAAGTACAATAAAAAATAATTAAATATTAAAAATAATATAAAGGCTGTTACTTTTTATATAATAAATAAATAAATAAATCTCATTAGCAAATTAAAATCTTATTTTCCTAATATTTCTAACTGTCATCCCCTTCTAATCAGAAGATTCGAAATCAGCTTTCCATTTTTATATTAATTGATTTAAATAATTATCCTTTTTTTTTTTTCATTTTGGCTGATAATATGATAGTTATTCTTTACCTAACCAATAAATAGCATTCTGATGCACCAATTTCTTAAATTATAATTCATCTTTGTTCATAAATAAATTAAAATTAAAAGAAGCCATAGGCAACTAAGCAAGTATAGTTTTCATATGCCAATAAATAATTCAGAATATTCTAAATAAATTTAAATAAAATGATTTTTAAAACTTTAAATTCATTATATTTTGCTTTAAAATTAGTGCTATATATATAATCAAATTCAACATTCTTAATACTCTTCATGAGAACTGTAAAAATATCTCCTGATGTGATTACCAATTATTTATGATTGTATAAAAATTATTTCAACATATTCAAATATAAATTATATACTTTGATATTAGTGCAATGTAAAATCTTTATATGTAATATTCATTGAAAAATAAATTTAATAATTTATAAATCTATCCTAATGTGCTTTCTACACAAATTTTTTCTCTTTTTCTATAATTCAGTCAACTCTCTTAGGCATAGTTTGGGACAGCTTTCTTATTGCTTCTTAAAGCAGCTTTCTAGTCCAAAAATTAAAGTTTTTCGACTAAAATGTTGTTTTAACCGTAGTAAGAATGCCGTCCCAAACAAAGTCATACATAAACTCAATTAATCAATACACCAATAATTTTTTAACTATAAATAAAATAGTATATATATCCTTCAAAAGGAATCAGTACTTTTATTTTTTTGGGACATTTAGGCCATTTAAGGCAAACTCACACACACTACGCATACACATAGACTCGAACCCTGAACCTCTTAGTTGGAAGCCTAAGCTCACAACCAATAGGCCAAGGAGAGTTGTGTGTGGAATCAGTACTTCTAAAGTTCTATTAACAAACACTAAAACTCCACAGTCCACAGTAAAATGGCAAGCCACCTATCATTGTAAACAAGCCATTCTTGGCTCTCACTCTCCTCCCAAGAAGAAAGAGTAACAAAGAGAATCTATGAAAGTTTTGGAGAAAAGGAATTAATTGCTTTAGTTATTACTCCCCTTGTCTCTTGCAAATTACTCAGAAAATGACTCCCAACACCAAAAAAAGGAATAAAAAAGAGAAATTTGGTATGTTTCTTGAAATATGGATAGGGTTAAAGATGCAAATAATTAATTTCTTTGCAAATATTTTAACTTTGTGTTGCAAGGAAATAGGCAGAAAGGAATTAAGCTTTCGTTTTTGTCTCTGTTGATGGAATAAATGCAAATCACTTCCATAAGAGCAGGACCTACAAATAGGAAAAGGTTGTACTGTTTTCTTTATCATGCAATGGTTGCTTTCAATAGTCTCTATAAGAGGAATCTATGTTTAGATAGGTAGATTCAAGAAGCTTGTTTGCCATGTGCTTGCATTTATGGAACATGAGGAATATAGAATTAAAGATTTTGGAAAGTTTGGGATTGAAGAGTTTATTTTGGAAATTATAAGGGTTAGTATATGTTAGTAATTTGAGTTTGATCTTACATAATAATTTGATCTAAATGGATCTAATTTAGAGTGACAGTGAGTTTGTGACAGCGCTCAGTCTGATGAAGGTCGTGCATTGAGAAATTATTATGTGCGGTCATTGGATGGTCCAAAGGCGAATCGGGATGTGTCATGTCATCCTGATACACAGCACCGCATATGGTGATATGGCGCTTCTTGATTCGCCTCATGATAGCGGCCGGTGACTGCATGTAATAATTTCTCCGTACATGAGAATAGAAATATGTTGTTTTTTTTTATGTCAACCAAACATATAATAAGCATAATTGTTCGATTTGTACAACTAGGATGAAAATAAGTAGAATTTCTATAAATAAAAATTATGTTTTGTTAGAGACAGCTTTTGATCATTATTTTTTAGTTATTTAAAAGTTTTTGTACTATAAAGCTAATGTGAAAAAGCTATCCCAAATAAAATATTAGGCTTTTTATGAACTATTTTTGTAAATGAAATTTTGATAGATTAACTCCAAATCAAATTCCTTATAACAAATTAGTAGTAGTAATGATCATGCTACCATTCCTCTCATTAAAATTGGTTAACATGATTGAAGGCTCTTGTTTGATTATTATTTGATGATTTTGCAAATTTTTTTTTTTCAATGAAAGAACACTTTTTTTCATATGTTTTTTCATTTTTAAGCAATCCAAAGGCAACAGAAACCAACTTTGTGTGATTGGAAAAATAGAAGGCGAGAAAATACTATCCCTTCATCACTCTATTATTAATTCTCAAAGGCCAATACTTATATATATATATAAAATAAAAAATGCTATGAAATTTGAATTTCTCATTTTGAAATTCCTCTTATTCTCTAAAATGACAAGTTAGGTTGAATTTTGAACTCATTTATTTTGTTTTAATAAGAATTAACATCATTTTATAATGGATAGTATTGCTGATTTATTTAAATAAAAAAGGTATTGGCCTTTGAGCTTCCAAGAAAATATTTATTTCTTCAATTTCCCATTCCATTTATTCATGCATTATAGTTTTTATTTATCTTGTCTTATTCTATCTTTTTTACCTAATAAGTATGTAATAAGTATGAAATTAAATTCTGTCGTTCTTATGTACTCTTTTGGTTAGGTTGCCGAGATACCCTTTCACTCTTCTATAAAAACTCATCCTTTTTCAAACAAAGGCGACGCCTTTACAGAGAGGGAGAGAGGCATCACAAATTCACAATGGATAACAAACCCCGGCTAAAAGACCGCCTCGCACGAATTTTCCGGCCATCGGCGCTTCTCCGTTCCTCCGGCGCTGCCGTCGGAAGTAGCCGGAGCCTTTCTGCCGGTGAAAGCACCAGGAGCTTTTCTGCCGCCGCAGATATTGCCCACGAACCAATCTTCATCTCCCGCTGCCGCGCCAGCGAAGCCGATGAGCTCCACTTTGCTCTCCTCCGCCGTTCCTTCTCACTTGACCGCCGGCCGAGCCGGAATCTCTGCGGAGGCTGCCGTCCCACCGCCGCCGCCTCGCCAGCAGTGAAGGATAAGGTGAAGAAGGAGAACAGGAAGAGCGAAAGGAGCGATTTATATGCGACGGGAGAACTCGGAGAAGGAGATGGAAAGACCTGCCCGCCTGCTTCGCCTTCAGTTGAATCTCCAAATAGTGCTCATTTGTATTACTATTGGATCAAAGAAGCAGAGTTGAAGGATAAGAGGAAGAAAACGAAGAAGAAGATGATTATGAAACAGAGGCAAAGGTGTCGGTCAAATCGTCATGAACTTAGTATCTCTTCTTCCTTCGGCGAGGAAGGCTTCGGATTCTTCAGCAGTGAGGAAACAGATACTTTCTTCTCCTCGAGGAGCTTCTCCTCCGACTCCTCCGAGTTCTACCGCCGCCCCTCGCCCAAAACGAGGAAGAGTTCTAAGAAAAAGGAGAAGAGCAATACGAAGAAACAAGACGAAAAATCCAATTTATCTTCTCGCCGGCGAAGGCCGGCGGAAGTGGCAAGACGAAGAGATGCTTTCATCAATGATTTTCAGCCTTTGGTTTCTGTTTCTTTTTCTGATGAAAATGAAGCAGAGAAGAAACGCAGAGAAGGTTTCCCAGTTCTGAAAAAATCTAGTGATCCTTACAGTGACTTTCGGAGCTCCATGGTCGAGATGATAGTGGAAAGACAAATATTTGGAGCTCAAGAGCTCGAGCGACTTCTTCATTCTTACCTTTCTCTCAACTCTCCTGAAATCCACTCCGCCATTTTTCGAGCTTTTGCAGATATATCTAAAGTTCTGTTCAGCTACTAACAATTGTGTCAGCTTATGTATGTTTGTATGGCGAGTTGATCTTAAAGATTAGTATTTTCTTCATCTTCGATCTCTTTTGATCTCTTTGGAGTGTAGAACGAGAACATGGTTGAAGAATGTATGTAGAAAGTTTGATGCTTGAAGTTTGAATTTCTCAAATTGTTATGTTCTCAAGTTAAAAATCTGTTTTTTATGGTGTTATGCTGTTTGTCATGTTTAAGTCAGGCATTTTTGACGAAGAAATGTACCTGGTTTTGTTCCTTTGTGAGTTAAGGAAAACAACTAGGCAAGAGAGAGAATGATGGCGCCTCCCTTTCTCTCTCTTTCCCTATTTAGTTCTCTCCTTACGTCAAGCTTCCGCTTGCTTAGCTAGGCTAGATTCTCCTTCTTCTACACGACGAAGGCTATCTGTAGATTTGTTTTGACAGCTTAGCATTATTTTCAAATAAAACATTAAAAACACATTTATATTAACATATTATTTATATTCATATGACATTTGATATGCTAAAATCTTACTTAATAATCTTCATATATCTTAATATTTAATTGAAAAGTCTTATATCTAATCTAATTTTATAAAGCATCATATCTTATTGTATAATTAATGATGTGATGTTGCTTAATATTAAATTAACAAATGATTAGTAATTAAACACCTTGCATCGTGGAAATATATATTCCCCGCTACTGATATGATACATCCCTAAAAAAATAAATAATTTCTACAAATATTTTTAGGCAATTGCTTCCGTCCCCCTCTCCCTCTTTATAAATAGAATTCATCATTTTATTTATTAATTTGAATTCTAAAAATATCCTTATAACTAAAATTTATTCCCAACCAGGCCCCCTAGGATCCCTGATATATCTGTAAAATGTACGACGATCATGGATATGAATAAATTGGGACATTTAGGCCATTTAAGGCAAACTCACACACACAACGCATACACATAGACTCGAACCCTGAACCTCTTAGTTGGAAGCCTAAGCTCTCAACCAATAGGCCAAGGAGAGTTGTGTTTATGTATTCCTCGGGGTTTATGTATTCCTCGCTATTGATATGATGCATCTTATCCGGGGCGGAACCCCTTTTAGGTGGGGGGCTAAAAAAAAGATTATCTTTGTTATATTATTTTTTAGATAATTTATCTCCCGCAGTCTATTTTGTAATCTTTATTATAAGAGGTTTGAGGCAATTGACTCAAAAAAAATTCATCATTTTATTTATTAATTTGAATTCAAAAAATATCCTTACAACTAAAATTTGTTTCATGTCAGGTACGTAGAACCCTATCAGGGGGCGCCCCCTTGGACCCATGATATATATGTGAAGCATACGACGATCAAGAATATGAACAAATAAGGGTTGATATTGACCCATTTTCTTGTAGTGAAAGGTCGAGTCAAATTCAAGGCAACACCAACAGTTACTTAAAAGTTTACCCCCACGTGTGCGCGCGCAAGATTTGGCCCCTGAATTTTTATCCTTAATGTTAGCATGTTAGCATTATTTCTTAGTGGATTCGAGTTGAAACCAATCCCTCGCCTATTCAACAACATAGATCCCCATTGAAATCTTGCTCTTAGCTGTGAGAGCGGTTTTTGAATATCTATATTAAATATGTTATGCACTATGTAGGCATAAATATTTTTTTTTCTTTAGAATAAGAAATTTCATAAAAAAAAAAGTATTTCAACAAAAATAAAATAATTTAGATTCAATGAAGGGTTCAATTTGAAATATCTTATTTTGCATATGTTATTGGGCAATGGCAAAAGAATTTCAGTTGGTTGCTTGTTTGATGGTGGTGTGCCCTTATAAAGAATAGTTTCTTATAGAATCTGAACTAATTGTACTCTCTTGTGTAGTATTTAATAAGCAAGTCCTTCCATATTATTATCTCCAAAAGTTTGAAAAAGCCCCGATTTTTGAAAAGGGTCGAAATGTTGAACCTGAACCCGACACGGGTTGGGTTCGGGTTGACCCTAACCTGAAATTTTCTGGTCGAGTTCGAGTCAGGATTTCGGGTCGTGTCAAATATTGACACCCCTAGTTGGGTTGTGACTTTTCTAATCACATGAGTTGGGTTCAAAGACTCTCCTTCAAGGATTTTGGGAGGCGATCTAGCATACCTGATACATCCTTAAAAAATTATATTGATTGTACACGAATCTCGAGGTAAAATCAAGTTGAAAACTTTCAAAATTAAAATTGGGATCATATGAACTCCAATTTCAGTAAACTTATAGTTGAACTGAATGTCTTGGAAATACGAACTCAATGACACCAAATTTGACTCAATTTGAGCCCAAATGGATCAAAATCAAGGGTCTGAAGCACTGTTGGAGGGTTCGAGCCACAATTTGGATTACCAAACGGTTTCCAAACTTGACGTGCTTATAATTGAATCGAGCGGTTCGACGAGATAAATCCAACGAGCCCAAGATCATTGAATTCTGAAATCACTAAGACACTCGAATGTCCATCAAACGATCCATGATCAAGAGATTCAACATCGACCGTCCATCCAACCCACTCCCCATTTGTCCTTGATCTCCCACCTATTTACTGGTCATGTCACTCTATGAAATCTATAATTAGACCCATCCTCCCTCTTGAAAGGGATGATCCAAGCAATATGGCAAGAGAGAGATCGGAGATCACTCTTGTCTCATCGCTCCTTGACTACCGCCTGGAGTTCCGTTGGACAACCACTTAAGGCCCTGAGCTCCACCGGACCACCACTTGAGGCCTTGAGTTCCGTCGGGCCACCACTTAAGGTCCTGAGCTCCACCAGACCACCACTTTAGGCCCTCCTGAGCTCCACCAGACCACCACTTTAGGCCCTGAGCTCCATCGGACCACCACTTGATGCCCTGAGTTTCACCGGACCACCACTTCAGATCCTGAGCTCCACCAGACCACCACTTGAGGCACTGAACTCCACCGGACTACCACTTGACACCGAAAGTTTTGTCAGATCACCACCTGACATCCAGAGTTCAATCGTACCCCATTTGACGCCCGGAGTTCTGCCGGACAATCACTTGAGGCCCAAACTTCTGCTGGACCACCACCTAAGGCTCGAACTTTTGTCGGACCACCACTTGAGGCCTGAACTTCTGACATACCACCACCTCAGGCCCGGACTTCTGTTGGACCACCACCTTAGTCCCGAACTTCTGGATGACCACCACCTGAGGCCCAAACTTCTGTCAGATCACCACTTGAGGCTTGAACTTCTGTCATACCACTGCTTGAGACCTGAACATCGGTCGGGCCACCACCTGACGCCTAAAGTTCTATCGGAGTATCGCCATACTACTATGATCTTTCGGACTCCTATCTCCTGTCGACTACGATCCTTTTGACCTCCGTCGTCTACTATGGTCCTTCTAACCTACATCACCAGACAATAGTCTTTATGACCTTGATCTCCTACCAACTACGGTCATTCCGACTTCCATCGTCTACTATGATCCTTATGACCTACATCACCATACAATGGTTTTTTTTTACCCTGGTCTCCTACCAAGTATGGTCATTCGGACCTCCCTCCCCTACTATGGTCCTTCTGATCTGCATCACTAGACAATGGTCTTTTTGACCCAGTCTCTTACCAATTACGATCATTCTAACATCCGTCTCCTACTACGGTCATTCCGACCTCCATCGCTAGACAATGATCTTTCTGACCCCAATCTACTGCCTACTACAATCTTCCTGACATCTATCCTATCGACTATGATCTTGACGATCAAACAAGCATGTCTATGTTGATTATTGTAACTTCCACCATGTAATGGGCTCTTATGATGTACATTTGTGATATTAAAACAAGGCCTTCTGATCCCGAGGAAGAGCCTTATTTGTAATTGACAACAAATACTAGTGGATTCATTCAAACTAGGCAAGTCCCTGTGGTTCTTTCCCTTTTCAGGGATTTTCATATAAAAACTCTGGTGTCTCTTATAAACGCCACACCCTCTCTTATCTGTGTGCGTGCTAGATCTTCGTACAACGTTTAGACGTTAAACTTCATATTTCTCTACCGCCGTGAATACTCTAGGACGCAATAATGCCCATGATCTATTTTTATTATTGTTTTTTTTATGCTTCCAAATTTATGCTAGGAATATGCTTTCTACAACAACTTCAAAATTTTACATTTTCTATAATAGCTTTACAAAATAGTAAGAAAATCGACCCAAACGAAACCTAAATAGAAAAAGAAAAGTCTAAAGTTTTTGTTATTGCACACGAAAAGTTAAAAATATATTGAAATATTAAGATTGCTATTAGGCAAACGAATGAAAAACTTGAGTAAATGATAGAAGAAAACTAGGGGTGTCAATATTTGATACGACACGAAAACCCGACCCAGAAAATCCGGGTTGAACCCGACCCGATTTCAAAACGGGTCGGGTTCGGGTTCCAGATTTTGACCCGTTTAAAAAACGGGTCGGGTTCGGGTTGACCCGACGAGTTGCCGGGTCAACTCGCGAACCCATTTAATTTAAAAAATTTCGAATCCCGCCTCTGCCCGCTGGCCGCCGCGCGCCCGCTCCCTGCTGCCGATCGCGCTCGCCGTATGCTGCCCGCGCGCCCCCGGCGCTAGCGTGCCCAGTGCGCCCGATTCCGCTCGCCCTGCGTGTCTGCTCGCTCCGCGTCGTTTCTTACGTTTGGGTTGTTTCCGCCGAGCGTTCGCTTTGGTCGTTTACCCGCCGTCTGATTCTCGTGTGCGATCGACACCAACCGGGTTCGGGTAGGGTGTCGATACCGTTGTTGAACGCGCTGGGTCACGTTACGGGTTCGCTCTGACCCTGACCCGTGACCGAAATTGACACCCCTAAAGAAACAACACAGCTAAAGGTTCTCTCATTCTTCACTTAGATTAAGATTGATATATTTTTTGTAATTGAAAAAAAAAAAATTTTTTTTTGATTCTTAAGAGTAATATTTATTAAATTTCTTAAAATTATTATCTAACAAC